TATCCCTCTAGTCTCGCCCCTGTTGGATTACGTTCTCCGTCGACTGACCCTCTCTTGTTTACTGGACTGCTCTTGTTTTGTCTTCTTTATACCTGTCTGCCATTGCCTGACCCTCGCCTGTTTTGACCACGCCCTTAGTAAAGCTTGCAAATGGATCCGTACGTCTCACGTCTTGTTTGCCCCGTAACAGTTACCAAGATATGCAAACTAATATTTCTTAACAAGTGTATCAAATTTTTAAAAAACATCTAAGCTAGCTGACCGTGACAGCAAAATTTTGGCTAAATCATTCCATTTTTAATCCACAAATATGGACCAAATTAGTAGCTCCACTAGCATAGCAACAAAGGCACAAATCTATCTGAAAGGAGGGAGAACTAGATAATGTTATACTTAGGGATGCACCGATATGAAAATTTTGGCCGATACCGATAACCGATTATTCTTTATTTTTGAAAGCCGATAACCGATATGTTGGCCGATAAATCTATATCCAAATTGTTATATACTTTTTGAGATCCTGATTACAAAAAAGGTTTCTTAAAAAAAAAAACTAACACTTGCTTTCTAATCTTTTTGTATTCTATCTGTTTACTTTTTATTTATTATACAATTAACAAAAGCAAAAAAGACCTCTAACACAAGCTTGCTCTATTCTTTTTCTATTCTATCTGTTTTCTTTTTATTTATTATATTATTTTTAAAAACCCTTGCTATGTGCACTGCGTTAAGCTAACTGAGACTTGTTATAGCACTTGTATATCATTGCTCTTTTGTTGATTTTGATTGCTTCCATTGTCCTCATTTGTAAGTCGCTTTGGATAAATAGATGACTAAATGTAAATGTAAAAATCACCATAATGCTATGATGTTTTTAGAACCTTGGTGTACCATGCAAATATCATGGTACATTAATTTGAGTACCATGATCTGATACCATTACTATACTATGTTACTGCCACAGTACTGTTTTGCCCAGAAAACCACCCACAACACACTAGCACCTTGGCAGTGATTTTTGCACAGGCGAGAACCACTCCCATTTTTCCAGCAAATGTAAAAATCGGAGTTCATTTATAATGTTGTGCCTCAGCGCTGTCCGGTAAGTAATCACATCAGCAGATATATTACACCCCCGTCAGCACAGATGCATGTGATTATTTTATTCCAAGATTAATTGCATTAACTGAATTTATCTTTAAGTGCCCGCAGATACACATCACTCTCAGCTGAGCGGATGGCAAAGTTGATTTGTCTTGCTTCCGCAGGCTGTACCAGCTCCATATGCGTGTTTTGAGCTCTAATTCGTTCATGCGCTGGGTTTCCGTTCCTCAAATTAGACACCTTGATTGCGATTGTTCAGCATCTGCCATGAAACCTCACAAGATTACAAACAGCTTTATAATTAGGCCTTGTTAATTTTCACCAAATGCCATTTTTACTTTTTACAAAACATGAAAAATGAAACAAAAGGCTTTTGTAGGATACATATTTTCATTAATTGGAAAGATATTGTTGTCCATTCTATGGGTCCATTTGGCCCAGGTCTCCCTGAGCATCTAGAAAGTACAGACTTTAACTCTCATCTTGGCTGATATAGTAGTGTGGGGCAGCCATTGTTAGAGAGGCAAACAATTTATGGGCATTCAGCAACAATCCATGGCCCACCTGTCACAGATCGATGAATGTTCCCCCTCCTACGCACCGTGCTGTGCCCAGTCCGGAGATGCTGAAACACCACAATCTGATTATCCAAGACAATTTAGGTTCAGCACGAACACAAAATCTTACATGTCAGATATGTTTTCCAAGTCAAAGGTTCACGATATACCATCTAATATCATCACACACTCTTGAAAATAAAGGTTTCAAAAAGAAGGTTTTGCAACAGTGCCACAGAAGAACCATTTTGGGTTTCCCAAAGAACCTTTCAGTAAAATATTTTGTGCAATGGGACCTTTTATGATGTTAGACGTTAAAGGTTCTTCATGGAACCATCAATGCCAATAAAGCTTCTTTATTTTTTTGTGCATGGTAGCAGTAACAAAAGCAATAGCTACTCTACAGCAACATTGTGTCTGAATACTGAACAACTGACATCTTAGCATATATGTTGTTATTTAAACATATATGCAGGATCTCACTAGCAAAAAAGTACCATAATTTAACCATGATTCTTGGACATGCACTATGGTATGGTTGTTTTTTATGTGCATTATGGAGTACCATGAAAATATCAAGGTACATGAATTTGGAAGTAACAAGAGTTACACTGTTCCAATTGCTTTTACAAAATATACATAAATAGTCAAATAAATAATATCTGCCTAATATCTTGAAAGCATTTATTTGCACACACACACACACACACACACACACACACAAACTAATGTTGCTAGGTTTAAGCAAGTGGTTTCAGCATCTTACCCTAGATTACTTGCCGAACAAAGTGCACTATTCAGAGTTCTGCTGATTTAATGATACTGCCAAATGTGTCAGACTCTGTGTCCTGGAAACACTTTGTACTTTGAAGATGTCCTCTCCTACACATATTGCCTGGTGACAAATGACTAGGTGACAATGTAAACAACCACTCAGGTTTAGACAAATGACACCTGTCTTAAGACTACTGAGATGTTTTTCGAATGATGAAACATTTCCCATGAGTCTCGTAGAAATATTTCAACAGACTGCAAATGTCTGACACGTATATAGGAATTCATGATGACAACCAAAAACTGCCCTGCCTGAGAAAGAAGAGAATTTGTGTTAAATACACCTATCCTAAATATCCAGATCCCTAACCAAATACAGAGAAGAGCGAAAGCCTATATAGTATAACAATTAAATATAATAATATTTCTGTGTAATGCATTGTGCAAGATAGACACACAATGTAGGAGCAGTCAACAAAATAACAGTCTTTAATAAAAAGTCCAAATGAAACATACACAACTGCAAATAATACTGGACAACGAACCCAGGAAAACAGAGTGCTTAAATAACAAGGGGTAATGAGGGAGAACAGAAACAGGTGATTAATCAATCAATTAGAAATCAATTAACTAGACATACTGAAAACTAGGTCAAAAGAAAGAAAGAATGGAACACAGAACAGACACGACACGTGGCATTTTGCAGAATTAAATTCAATTTAAAGAGGTATAAAGATTTTGTATTCCAGTTTTTAATATGGCACTTTTCATGAAAACGGTTCAAATTCATGTCCCTTTGTCGCAAATTAGAAATTAGAACTTAATTTTAATAAAACTTTTAGTGTTGACTACATTGGTCCAGATCAAACCTGTTACTGTCACGAGTCCAGTCTATGAACTTCCGTTCACTCACCACCAGAGGTTATGCCCTCACTACATTGACTCTCACACCACACAGACTGTTACATGTCACTCCGGACTACAGTTCCCATCATCCATTGCACTGATTATACACACACAGCTGAATGCACTGATTACACACACACAGCTGAATCCAATCAGACACGCTTTATAAGCCCTGGACGTAGAAACTCAGATCGCCGAGTATTGTATGTGCATATCACTAGTTGTGATAGCTATGTTACGGAGCCTACTTTAAGTTGCCTAGCCTAGCCTAGCCTAGCCTAGCCTAGCCTGTTTCCTCGTTTTCTGATAATTGCCTGTGTACTTTGGATTACCTCTCTTGTCTTGCCCTGTTCGGATACTGTTTGCCCCTGCCTGGACCTTTGCTTTGTACCTGGATTATCCCTCTAGTCTCGCCCCTGTTGGATTACGTTCTCCGTCGACTGACCCTCTCTTGTTTACTGGACTGCTCTTGTTTTGTCTTCTTTATACCTGTCTGCCATTGCCTGACCCTCGCCTGTTTTGACCACGCCCTTAGTAAAGCTTGCAAATGGATCCGTACGTCTCACGTCTTGTTTGCCCCGTAACAGTTACCAAGATATGCAAACTAATATTTCTTAACAAGTGTATCAAATTTTTAAAAAACATCTAAACTAGCTGACCGTGACAGCAAAATTTTGGCTAAATCATTCCATTTTTAATCCACAAATATGGACCAAATTAGTAGCTCCACTAGCATAGCAACAAAGGCACAAATCTATCTGAAAGGAGGGAGAACTAGATAATGTTATACTTGTCTTGTTAATTTTTGTTATTATTGTTGGTGGCTGTATTTGCTAGCTGACCGTGACAGCAAAATTTTGGCTAAATCATTCCATTTTTAATCCACAAATATGGACCAAATTAGTAGCTCCACTAGCATAGCAACAAAGGCACAAATCTATCTGAAAGGAGGGAGAACTAGATAATGTTATACTTAGGGATGCACCGATATGAAAATTTTGGCCGATACCGATAACAGAAAAAATGAGCCGATATGGGCCGATACCGATATGGTGGCCGATATATCGTGCATCCCTAGTTATACTTGTCTTGTTAATTTTTGTTATTATTGTTGGTGGCTGTATTTGCCAAGCTCAATCCAAGGGTCAATACTTACATTATAGGTGTATCATCAATAACTATAAAGTAGCTGGCCACTGTGACAGCTACATTTAGGCCAAATTATCTCAGTTGATTATATAATTTCCCAGAATATGGTACAAACTGGTGTCTAAATAAAAACACAAATCCCACATTATTTGGAGTGACAACTATTAGATTAGATAGTCTCATTCCTTTTACACATTTTAGTGTCGACTGTGTTTGTCAAGCTCAATTATTTAACCTCGTTACCAAATGTAAACATGAATAAACATTTTTGTCCTTCTAATAACTCCTATTTATAAGAAACATTACTCAATTAATAATAAGCCAACCTCTGGTCTCATAGTCGGCCACTACAGAGTGAAAGCTTAAATTAGGCGAAATCTGCAACCCTGTTCGCCTACATATTCTGCTATATTTTGTTAGAGGCGCAAGCAGTGAAAGCTGCTTATTTACAGAGCACCAGCACGGCCACCCCCAAAACTCATCAGCACATACTGCTGCACTTCCACTTACCGTCCCAATTCAGACTCCAGCTCATAGAAGTCCGCCAGAGTCTCTTTCTTGGATCCATCGATCCAGTATTCAGGAGCGGCTCTAGAGGCGGGCATTGTCACTTTCAGCATCTCCAGCGCTTCAGCTCACTAACAGCGGAGCGCCGATCTACACACAAGCAACAACATCACGAAATGCCATGGAAGAAAACGGACACACAGTCCGGAGAGGCAACTGATACACAGCTTTGTCAAAAGAGTCTCATGTCACCTGTAATGTATGTCGGTGAGGTGCGCAGGTTGCTCGTGAATGTGTAGCGTCAGTTGAACGCGGTTGTTATGAACGGGGAGCGCGAGCGCGGCTTCCACTGGGTCTTACTGTCGCCTATGTAGAGCGCTAGTTTTCTGTGTGTGACTTACCTGGATTCAGTGGACGTCAGATGCATTGCTAGATATCATCATGGCAAATGATAGTTATATTTCAAGATATAGCTAGATTTGATCCATGTCCTTCATTAATGCAGGACACAATTTCTGTCTACAAAAATAACCCATCATCACTGACGCACTGTAATACAACTAGCTGGGCCAGTCTAAGTCTGTCATGAAATCCCGGGCCATATTTCAACTATATTAGCCGATATCATTATATAGTGCGCTGAACATACGCTCGCGAATTGTTTACGTAAATTAATAATAATATAACACACTATAATTTGCTAACTGTGCTTGGAGCGCCAAACTCGAGGCTTGAAAATGACTGACTAAATAAATACACATATGAATTAAAAAAATGCATACATCTTTTTCTTAAATTTTTCAAATATGCCACTTTCAATGAAGTTTTGAATGTGCTATGAGGAGGAAATCACCCACACTGAGTCCAGATCTGTACTGGCCTGCATGACTGGTCATCCTGTAAAGCTCAAGCAGTGCAGGAGTGTTCTAGGCTCCCACACAGAGAGACCCATCTGTTCAGTATCTGCTCAACGCAAAACAAACACAATCCCAACTAACCACCAGCATCACCCTCATCTCACACATTCACTTCCTCGAGGCTCAGTCATACAAATTATAAGAACTGGGAGGCAATGTATACATAGGATCTGTATGCAAAATAATGGAGGTGTGTGCATACATATATATATATATATATATTATGCACAGTGCGTTGTCCAAGTATTTGGACACTTAACATGTATGAATACCATTGCTTTAAAGCAGTGTTTCCCAACCTTTTTTTAGTCGCGGCACCCTTACTTTAGTCTTTGCAACTTCAGGGATCTTATCTATGCACAATCAGCTTGTAACACTCCAAAGAGAAAGCAAAACTTGAAATTGCATCATATGACCCCTTTAATGTAGGCTTCTATACATATGTAAACATTATTTAATTACCATTATAACTAGCTATCTCACACATTTTTGCTCACTCAAGTGTTTTTATTTTATTTTACAGTGGGGTAATTTTGGTGCAGTAGCATGAGATAGCTTGATTTCAAACCTTGAATTGAATAAAAAATGGCAAGTAAGCAGTCAGTAATAAAATAAGAACAAATAAAGAAATTAATAATGATAGCACAAATAAAAAATAACGTCAGGTCAATTATCAAATAATGTTTAGTCCTAGAAAGATGTTATTATCAGAACATTGCACTCGGACTATGCACTTTCTGCAGAATAAGGATGGAGCAAAGTGTGGATGCGCTGTCCTTGAATGACGGTCAACTCGGCTTTGTTTATATTTTGCTTAGCCTATAAATGTAAATGACAGATGTCGTATTTAGGCTATTTATTTTGCTCTGCTACACTTTTCTTACTGTGTTAACAGAAAAATGTCAAACGAATTTAGTAGGCTATTTTGACAAGACGAATAAAAATAGCTAATAGACTATTTTTGTACAACCTACATTCTTTTTTTTCCTCTCTGCCACACTTTTTATATTGGGTTGTAAATGGTAAACGAATTGTATCCTGACAAGACGAATAAAAATAAGAAATACACAATTTTTGTACATTGTTATTTTCTCTGACACTTTTTCCTACTGTGTTGCATAAACTATTAGGCTAAACGGATTTTGTGTTTTAAGATAATTCATATAAATTCAAGTCAAAGTCAATAAATTCAACTCTAGACCAGACGAATAAAATAACACAATTTTGTGCAGACTAGGCCTACACTTGTATTTGTTAGCCTATCTCTCTTTCTTTCAGTTGCGGAAATTTAAAAGTGAGATTCTGGAAACGAGATCTAAATTTAGCGGGAACGGTCGGGTCGGAAGAAAATTAATCTAAGCAGACAGCGAGTGAACAAAGAGTGAATATATTAGCGGGAGCGGGACCGGGACTAAAAAAAAAAAGCCCCGTGCAGACCTCTACTATTATGGGCTGGGGTTTTTTGGCCAGAACTTACAAGGTCTTAATTACAAACACGCAGTTTTTCACTTCACAAGATGTTAGTTGATGGACTGGAGTTGTGTGAATTACTTGTGGATTATTGTGATGTTTTTATCAGCTGTTTGGATGCTCATTCTGACGGCACCCATTCACTGCAGAGGATCGACTGGTGAGCAAGTCATGCGATGCTACATTTCCTCAAATCTTTTCTGATGAGGAAACAAACTCATCTACATTTTGAATGGCCTAAGTAAATGTTCAACTTTGAAAATGAATAGTGAAAATTTGACCTTAAAATAAAGTGACCAAAGAAAACTCGCATAGATTTTGTATACTTTTCATTTGTTTTAACAAAAAAGAGCAAGAACATTTAGTCTGATACAAACAGTCAACAACATCTCAGAAAAGCAAAAGGAGGTCTGGAGAGATGTGCTTTACAGTAGTGCACTCTTGATATAAGACAACAGACAAATGTTCTGATTTAGGAGCGTCTGCATGGACATCCATGTCTCCTCCAGGTGTGCCGACACGCTTTCTGCCTCCTCCATCAGTTCGGGCTGGTCTGCGATGAACCGAAGATGGAGCTGGAACAGGAAGATGACATGTTAAGAGTTAAAAATTCAATACAGTCAAACGTTACTTGATGTTGTTTCGATGTAATTAAATGACTGTATATAGAGTGAATACTCTTAGTAGTATATATAGTGTTGCAACAATGGGGACAGTCCATGAAAGGTGCTGAACTTTTGTATGAAAATGTTTTCATATACATTTGCTGCCATCTGCTGTTTAAAAACCAAACAAATCCAGTGTGTCCTATACAGCAAAATTCATGCATAATTTATCTATACATGTACTATGACAAATTCATAACCAATTGGAACCAGTTCACGTGTTTGTAGCTCTTTTATAAATGTAAAAATGAGAATTTGTTAATATTATAAAATTAATGGCATTATAATACTTTATACATTTCTATTAAATATGAAAAGATCACATTTTATATGTTTTCAACAACACTTTTATTATATAGAACAAAAACATATTTACACTGATGGCCAAAAGTTTGGTAAAATTATAATTTTTTTAATGTTTTTGAAAGAAGTCTCTTATGCTCACCAAGGCTTTGATTTATTTGATCAAAAATACTGTGAAAACTGTAATATTGTGACATTTTATTACAATCTAAAATGACTTTTTATTTCAACATACCTTAAAAAAAGCATGATCCTTCAGAAATCATTCTAATAGGCTGATTCAGTGCTCAATTATTAATAAGGGTTCTTAATATTATTAACACTGAAAAGAGCTTTGCTGCTTAATATTTTTGTGGAAACTGAAATTTTTTTCAGGATTCTTTAACGAACAGAAAGCATTTATTTGAAATAGAATATTTTTCTAACATTACAAATGTCTTTACTGTCACATTTCTGCTGAATAAAACTATAATAAAAAATATATATATTATTAATGTACTAACTCCAACCTTTTATATCAGTGTTTTATGGTTTGCATAAAAATATTAAGCAGCAAAAACTGTTTTCAACATTGATAAAAATAAGAAATGTTTCTTGAGCACGAAATCAGCGTATATTAGAATGATTTCTGAAGGATCATGTGCCATTTTTAAATATATTCAAATATAAATAGTTATTTTAAATGAATGAATGAATTAATGATATTTCTATTTACTGTATTTCTGATCAATTAAATGCAGCCTTGCTTTCAACAATTGCACAATTTAAACCCTTCATTGTTTATAGCACATCTTCATTTCCTGTGGAACTGAATTATCAGAGATTAATTCCTTTGTATCAAAAACATGACATTAATATTATATTCTAAATATTTAAGGAAAGCCATCTGGTGAAATTGAGTCCAAATCAAATGGTGTTTGACAGCGAACATGGGCTTCCCAGCATGATTAGAAAGAAACAGAAACCAAGCAACTGACAGTCTTGTCTTACAGCTTTGTACTAGAACTAAAAGCCAAAACTATTGTGTTATAAAGTTGGTATGCAGTTTAGGGTTGTGACAGTGAGGAAATTTTCCCACCGGTTAATCGA